GGTACATATAGCGGGTGACCATGACACTCAGAGGCTTATGCCTCGAATTAGACACACAGACGCAGGTGAGGGCGAATAACGCCTCAAGTAGGACAGATGTTTTGTCAGGAGTCGAGTGAAATAGGTGAAAAAGGGGTAGGGCAGACGGATTTCACGGAGCAAGAGGGAGACTGGGATAAGACTAGGGAAGAGGACTGCATAATAATAAAGCAGACTCTGATCAACATTCCCTGCACAAAGATGAGGTAGTGGGGCGAGAGCGAGAGTTGGGGAGTAAAAGTTTCATGTCGCTCAAAGGAGAACACCACACTATGTCTAAATAAACACGGTAAAAATTGCAATAGTGCAGGCAAATAAGATGCTACCGAAAACGCGGATAACCCAGGACGAAAGGGGAGATACCATAATTGTTTAGCATACGTTTGGTCAAAGGATCGGCTTCACTTGTCTCTTTGACGAGTAGTTGTATGGTGCTTAGAATGGCGATATTCACTGACGATGCCGACTACGATGCCGGCGAAACGTTTGGGAATGTTCCACGTCCACGGTTCAACTTTGGAAATGATCATGCAGACAACCCCCGGACTAGGTGCGTTCCAATAAGTCTTCCTACCAATATGACCATGTTGCGAAAACAAGGTCAAACAATCGAGGTGCGTTTCAATAAGTCTTCCTACCAATATGACCATGTTGCGAAAACAAGGTCAAACAACCTCTATACAACTCTAACCCAAATTCGACAGATCATCTTGGTCAATTTTATGTGTCCATATGCGATAGAGAAACAAACGTGCAGTCGGAATAAGTGGATTTCTAATCAACCTGCGAAGCCTGAAGAGCCATACCTTCCAAACTACCAATCCTCTGGGAATGTACCAAGTCCATGGTCCGACGCTGGAAATCATCATGGTTATTCTAGCAGAGGATTTCAGGTAAGGTTCGTTCAAGTTGCTAAAACGAGGCCAAACAACTTCTATCACTTAATTTGCGTATATAAGTAGAGTTTCGAGACTACCAGACTTAATTATGTAGACACATTCATGACTCCCTCCATTTTAAGCCGCAGGAAATTAAACTACTACAGCAATTATAAATCACTTTTTGTAGATTTCGAAAGGACTCATAAAGAATAGACGATTAGTCTTCTTAGCTTAGCGTTACCTCAAAGCCTTGTGTGGCAGGACGAAGACAATATCAAATGACTGCAAAGCAACAAGTATTCGCTCTAGTCTTTTGGTAGTTATTATCACACACTTCCATACGAAATGAAAGTTAGCAAAACTATTATATTATGAGATGCAATTTAATCCAGTTATACATTCTTGGCATTATAATTGTGTAAAGTTATCATTCTTCAGTGGATTCACCGAAATTTTCGCTTCTGTGACAAAGACGAAAGGTGCAATCGTCCTAACTACTCATGATGGTGCTGAGTACGATGCAGATGATGAGTATGATTGGAGGTCTTCGTGTCCGATGGTTCATTCATCATCAAGACTGGCGGCATAAGCCCAGCATACATTCACATACTGAAATAATAAGAAATTGGCGAGCGCGAAACGTTTTGGGGCCGGAAACCGGCTGGCACAAATATGGAAAGCGTTTAGCTCTCCTGCAACTCAACTAATTTATGAGGTCCGGCGCCATAGTGACAACATCTAACTAGAATGGCTGGCTGTCATTGTGATTCATACTTCACAATCACGTAACCTAGCCTTGGCCTTTAACTGGGGTCTGAAAGATGCACTAGGATGGCGCACAACAATGCAATACGTGTGCCCGGGTGAATCTAGACAACCAACAGAAGTACTTCCGCATCGTCCTGGTCTGTCTCATCTGCCCTGTTCGCAAGAGGAAAAAAGTAGAACGAAAAAATTAATTTACCTGACACCAGCTTCGTGCGCCTATACGGGAAAGTAGCATACAAGGCAGTATGACCACAAGGTCTAAAAGGATTGAGGGCATTGCCTCTGCGGACACGCGAGTTAAGGCCTCCTGTAGTGTTTCTTCAATAGGAAAGTGGCCGGAGGATGCCAATGTTGGGATAGCCTGGGGAGTGGATGTGGTGGATGGAAGTTGGTGGGCGAAGTCTGTGCGAAAGCGTGTTTGCATTGGCACATAACCAAGATATAGTTCCAAATGTATAGCAAACATGTCGGCAATAAGTAAAGGATAGGAAGGCGAAGCCGAAGCCGAAACCGAAAAAGGAAGCCCAGAGGCAGAAAAGACGAAGGGTCTTTGTCTCTCTGATTATGGAAAAAGAGCGTGTCTTAAGTTGGGCATTTTCCTTGCCTCCGAAGAGGAGCAGAAATAAAAGAAAAATACCAGGTTGAAATGATGGCAAAGGGTCGGGTTCCAGATAAAATACGCGTTCATACATGCAATGCGTGTACATAAACATCTCAAATTTGGCCAGAACAGAGACGAGTGTAGGCTAAGTGGCAAGTAGAGAAATACATGCCGCCCAGGCAACCGCTCGGAATCGTAGAGCGATGGGCTAAGATGGATTAAGTGGAGGAAATGGGAGAGGAGACCTGTCGGCTCTGAGGGCATGACCACGAGGAGTTCGAGGTCGCGAGGCTGGACGAGGTTAGTGGGACAGTAGAACAAAATGAGCGGTGACAGATGAACGGACGGATGATGTCAACGCGTCAGGTGGCACTCGCCACGCACAACTGAGACGAGGGCTTATTTTTGTGCCAGACCCTAAAGTATAGGCCTAAACAGACGAACGCACACAACACTCAGGGTATCAGACACACTGTCTGTCCATTAATAATGATATGCGTCTGCTCGAATGTGCTTAAGAGCGAAGTAAACCCAAAAGCATTGGAATCAACACCAAAGGAATTGGGCAAAATAGACGTTGCAAAACCGTTAAATATCTTTGAAGTGTTCAAAAGTGCAACTGCGGCTCCAAAAGGGAGTTTGGTACTACAGGATCTGATGAATAAAGGGACTTGAATGTACACATGGCGATGTAAACACACTCATCCAGGATGGAAAGCAGAAGCGCACTCGTCTGTGTGGCCTCTTCCTTACCTTCACGGAAGATCGAGATTTGAGCTTCCCAGCATAAAAGCCAAATATACCCTATACCTCTTCGAACCTCCGGTAGACAAACCAAGGAATGACCTTCTGCTATTTTACATGTACGATCTATCATGAGGTCAATATGACCTTTTGATGAATCTGAGGCGAAATCGAAACTCCGGCCTCGTTTATGTATGAAAGATTATGAAGGTCCGAAACACTGGGAGATTCTATGATAAATTGAAATCTGCCCCGGACCACCAAATAGAAGTCTTGATATGAAATTTTGATTGTTTCGATTGCACCATGACTTAACAGACTTGCCCTCCACACAAGAGTGAAAGAGGTATATTTGCTGTAGTTGTCACGAGGGCCATAATGGCTATTAATTTAAGGCGAAACAAACGATTTTCAACAACGGTCTGAGATACTAAGATGGGGTGCCCTTTAATTTTTGTGAATGCCGTGTGAATTCTTCATAACGTGGTCTTGATTGCAGGTCGACTTTTAAGAACACGCCCCTTAATGTGTCAACTCTGCTTACTACATCAGAACATCGACTTACCAAAGGGGAAGGTAAACAAGTCGGGAATTTAATATCGGCTTCCTAACCTAACCTTATCTCGAGTAGATGAGATGAAAACAAGGTAGAAATTGTGCGATAGGGCGCTACATTTGGGAAATGCGAATGTACCAAAACCACAACCTAAAGCTTCACTTGTCTCTTTGACGTGCCGTAGCTCGATGCAAGGTATATCAAGGCTTATTGACGATGCCGACTACGAGGCCAGTGATACACCTGAAAATTCCCAATCAAATGCCTAATTTTTGCGGATTACATAACAATGAAACAAAAGTTTACAATTCACGAGGACCCCTGCAAAAGCGGGGTCAGACCAATTCCAAATACTTAGAGATAGTTAAAGTCACCATACTTCAAACTTGTAAGGAAATAATACTTCATTCTATAAGGTCTGTCTATCCTCGCTCTTAAAGATGGCAGCGCTTGGAGTTAGTCTTACGTCGTATTTTGCAGGAAGGCTCTATAAATTCCAACATGAAGTGCATTATAAAAGGCTCCAACAGGGGGTATCGAGAAAAAGTATCGGCGAGATCCGATAAAAAATGATCTGTCTGGCAGATGTTCAAATCTTGATGGCGCTTGAGCCTCCCAGTGCTAGTTAAATACTAAGCTTCCCAAGCGCCTGTTGACTTTAAGCCGTATCCGACTCCTCGACTTCTCCACAATAATTCTAGCATCAAGTTGCAATGTTGCGATTAAGCGCAATACTACCATAGATTTTTGTCATAATTACCTTGATATAATTAGGCCAATAATCAAATTATCTTTTTTTCTATTTTTGGAGTCCTCCCAGGACAACTTAATATGCAGTTCTTAATAGTTGTATTGTGCACTTTCTGAACCTACAATGTTTAAATATTGTGCATTGCACCATTACACGTTTTTTTCGGCCCGAAAAGACTTTACCCACCAAAGTATATTGCAAAAAAACAATAAGTGTAGAGCGGTGCCGAGGTTTTTAACGAATTGTGTTTCAAAAGTAAAATACGTAAATGATCAATTTAAATCTCACGAATTAATCATTTCTCTGCTCATGCGTTTAAGAAGCGTAATTTTATAAGGAATTTCATGCGTTTTATTTTCTTAAAGCGGAGTTTAGCAAGACCCAAATCATCAGAAAGCGGAATTTGAAACCGGATAGCGTAAACGTTAAGGCAAACACGCTGCCATGCGCTTCATTTCTCACAATAGGACTGGTCTAGGTGATATCCTGAAGAATTAGTCTACATTAAAGCAGAAAATTGCAAGTTAGTCCTGCCATGCTTCGTTGTAATTCAAATATGGGCCTTGGCACTGGTGCTGGAGGAGTCAGAATTCCCAAAGAACATTTTCCCTTTTCCGCATGAAGATAGGCAGAGCTCTGGAGAAACTACCCAGTAGCCCTTCATTTATAATTTTCCCTACTTGTTTATGCTCAAGCCAAACTTGAAGAAGTATTTTCATGAAACCTAATTTTCATTTCAATGGCGTTGCAGAGTCGAACCAGTCATATGATATAGGAACTGGTAATTGGGGTGAAAAGGAAAATAGAATTTTGCAGACGAGTCCGCCGACTCACTACACCATCAGCCAATTGTCTTCGTTAGCCTCATCCATCCAGTTCTGAACCCTCAATTTAATTGGTTCTCGTCAGCTTTCGGCATTGGCTGCCTTTGTGAGATGCATTACATAGTCGGAAGCACCACCAGAAATACTCGATTGTGGCCCCTTTAACAAGTCTTTCGTTTCGATGATGCCGATTGTGATTTCGGCGAAACATCCGCAAGTATAGCTAGTGGAGGAGCTGAGGCAATACATGAGTACCACTGCAGGAAGTGTCGCACCATTGACCTTCCCCAGTCCCCCAATAAGCATAACTATGATGAGAAAGTATGACCAAACAAGGTTTTACTTAAATAAAATAGACTACGGTCCCCATTTGTGTTAAGCTGTCTATCAAAAGATACATATCGCTTGTCATCTTCCGATCACATAAAGCTATTCGAGATATGATGAAGGAAACGAATATGGTAGTCGGTTTAGGTAGTCGTATCATCAAAAATAATTCGGTTGATGCAAAAGTGTAAACTCTCCCCTTCCTAAGCAATTTTGGATTGGTCTATGATAAAATAATTTACTTTTTTAAAGGCAGCAATTCTATCTATGACTTGACATTCTCCTTTCACCCAAGTCGTGTTTCCCAGTTGCCCCTTTCCAGAGGTGCCTTGTCAACATAAATTATATTCAACCTATTCCCTTGTTTACTCTCCCTTTGCTAGTAGAACCTCAATCTCAATTAAGTTCAGATGGTTGGTTTGCGTCTCACTTGTTAATTACCCATATCGTTTCGACTTCGTATCCTCCCCAAGTTCCTCAGCTGGTATGAATGTTGGATTGAAGTTGCTCTAGTGCCTAGAGTGCGCGTAGAGGTAGCAGGGAGGATATTAGTTGACATGACTATCCATTTGCTGCTAACTCTGAGAGTTGATGTATCCAGATTCCTCCCCTTCTCACCCATCAGCAAATGGAGGGATCGGGATAAACGGAAGAGACAGTGCGTGAATGGCACTTGAGTCAAGTGATTATGGTGTCAATTCAAATGCTATACTTCGGAGGAGTTGGGGCCCAATGTGGCAAATCGAGTGATTGTATGAGAGTCAGGGGCAGATACGGAGACGGGCTAAGCGATAGAAGCCACTGTAAAGCACTTGAATTGAGTATAGCCGAAATGGCAGAAGCGAAAACTAAGAACGAAGAAAAACAGGCCAGTTTGATGTGAAAATCAGATGAACTACCACTACCCTCCAGCTTATCCCACATAGAGGCAAATACTTCACCTGCATGTGATCAAAGTTTTGTCTCCAAAGTGGAAGACTAAGTCAAATAAGGAAAGTTTTCTCAGTTCTTCGAACCACCGAATACATGCATATCTCATAGAACTAACCAAAAATACCATGCATCAGCATGTACACAGGCATTTCGGGGGCTCCTTTTAACAGTTATCATGGCCATGATAGACAGAGTAAAAATCCCTTCAACCTTCACAAATGGTTAAAAACAAGAGGTATTTGCGACGGCCGGAAATATTGCCAAATACAGCAACGGAACTCAAAGGTATGAATACCAGGATGACGTAGCCTGTATTTTGGTCGAAGTCTTCTTGCGCTGAATCTAGCTTATCCTGCGTCCGCTGCCATCTAAGTGGTACCAGGATAGAAGAAAGCGTGATACTACAACCATTAGCCAGAATTCGGTCAGTTGATGGATTTCACTTATAGCTTTGGTGATTTGTTGCTTGGTGCTAGAGACGGCCACACCTATTGACGCGGATTACGATACTGATGGAGCGTCTGGCAACTACCAAGACAATGGCCTTACGCTGTAAATTGTCATGGCAACTTTACCAGAGGACGGTGTGCAAGGTACACGCAAGGGTCACATTGACAACGCAGCTTGGTTTCAAAAACGAGGTCAAATCAATTTTATCAAATTTTGTCTGGCAACTCGTAACAAAGTCCCCATTTATGTTAAGCTGTCTATCAAAAGATACATATCGCTTGTCATATTCCGATCACATAAAGCTATTCGAGATATGCTGAAGGAAACGAGTATGGTCTGATGAGGGGCGAAGTCAGTATAGTATAACAAAATCGAATATGAAGAATGGACACTGAATTTATTAAAGTGGTTCAATGTCAAAAGTTCAGGAGTCTCTGTTCGAACTTCGAAAATGTGTGCATGATCAGCATGATCCGTCATATGACGAACGAAAGCTCAGCACGTGTTCACCGGAATCGAAGGAGATTGCCT